CAAAACTCAACAGAAGTCGAAACTCAACAGAAGTCAACAGTCAACAGTGAACAGAAGTCAAAAGTCAACAGAAGTCAAAATTCAACAGAAGTCAACAGTCAACAGAAGTCAACAGTCAACAGAAGTCAACAGTGAACAGAAGTCAACAGTGAACAGAAGTCAAAAGTCAACAGAAGTCAAAGTCAACAGAAGTCAAAAGTCAACAGAAGTCAGAAGGCAAAGCATATCCCGCTTTACCATGAACCGGGGATCTGGCCAGCATTCCCTTTGCGCATTTCCTGAATTTTATAACTTTCCTTTTTTTTTATCTTTTTTCTTTTTTTTTCTTTCCTTCGATCATTTGTTGTCAGTCTTGTGACGTGGCGAGGTTGGATTCCCAGACTGGCCTGGCGCAATATTTAAGCAGACTGCCTTGCCTGGGGATTCAAAACTGGGCAGGTGTATCAGCAGGCCAGTAGTAGGTATAGGCTCTCTACATATAGTCTAGACTATATGTAGAGGCCCGATGACTACTACCATCTTCCCCCAAACACAACCCACCCACCCTGATCCTCAATGTATACAAGATGTCTTTCCAGTCAGATAAAGTCAAGATGAGTGTGCCGTGCATTGCATTCAGTGTAGGACGGTAGTTGCAGGTCGGTAGCAGCAGGCACGGCAGCAGCAGGTCCAGCGTAACAAAAACAAAAACAAGAACAATCCGCTGAACCAGTCCCCACACGCTACACACTTCTGCTGTCCCTTGTTTCCTTTTCCCCCTTTTTTAATCTCCACCACAAGCCGCTTCTTTTTTCTTTCAATTTTTTTGTCTTTTTATCTCACCTAGGCTCTCGCTCCTGGTTGCACCTTTTTTTTTTGTCTTTTTTTTTTCTGTCTTTTTCCTGCTTGTTGGTTTGCTGTTTCAAAACTTGCATGCACTGGGGAAGTTCGTGGGATTCGTCACTTTGAGAGGAGAGAGGAGACAGGAGAGAGGAGAGAGGAGAGATTTGACACAGCCATAGCTGCTTCGTTCAGAGGGAGTAGTTAAGTATATTACTGCCAAAAAAAGTGACTAAAAAAAAAAAAAGAGTAAAAAAAGAGTAAAAAAAGAGTAAAAAAAGAGTGACAAAAAGTTGATAAAAATTTACTAAAAAACACTTGAAAAAAAGAAGGGAGAGAATTGACACAGCCATAGCTGCTTCACTTTAAAAAAGTGACGTAAACACTTTTAAAAAGAGGGAGAGATGTGAAACACAGCCATAGCTGCTTCACTCTTACAAAAAGAGGAGCAAAAAAAGAAGAGGTCGAACCTGGTCATCACTATTGAATTTATTCATTACTCATGTTATTCCATCCAACGTCAAGTCCTGCGATCTGCACCTTTTCGAGTTCCGTGAGCTGTGGACCTGTGGTGTCAGACGGGAAATTAAAAAAAAGGGTCGGCGGATCTACTCCGACTTTCATTGCCTTTTCGAGTTCGATGGCTGTTCGTTTTTTGCCCGCGCGTGTTTTTTTTTTTGCCTTTGCAAACTCGAAACCTGCCGCGTTTTTTTGCACTTGTTTCTTTAAAAAATAGAGAAGCAAAACGAAGAGGTTGTTCGACTTGGTGATTAGCGTTGGTTACTCACGTTATGCCATCCGATGTCCAGTCCTGCGATCTCCACCTTTGAACAACATCCTCCCTTGTGCCAGTAGAGGTGCACCTCTTCCGTAGATCCATCGGTAAGCTAGGGTACCCCCAAAAAGCGGCATGAAAAGGGGTATAAAGTTAAAAAAAAGTGAAAAAAAACACAACCACCATTATTTTACACACCCCCATCCACACCACAGTGGCGCAAAATAAACACAACAGTCCAGGGGGGATGAACCCAAAGAACACACAGGAAGAGCTGTGTCAGAGTCAGTCAGTGATGCTGCGGAATCCGCAGAAAATAAATAATCAAATACTATTTTTTTTTTTTTTAAATGCACATCCGTTGCCATTGCACTTTTGTTGCGAAGTCTGTGGCTCATTTTCATCGCTCTCGTAGAGCTTAATAATCTCCAATCATGAGTCCAATGATCCAATCTATATTTATTTTATGATCAGACTCATCAGAGTCATCAGACGGAATATCATGTCAACATCACTAGCGCGAAATGCAATATGGCGTGGAAAAGTTCTCTACCTGATGTAACCTTTTTTTTTTTTTTTTTTTTTTTTTTTTTTTTTACACAATACATTCAACCGCCACACTTACCTTTCAGAGGCGACGTCTAAATCGAGAATATAACCTACACCGCATTATTCTCGGAGGCCGGAGGCCTCCTGACCAAAATGGGTGCCAGCGCCAGCCGAAAAAGAAAAAAAAAAAGGTCGCACTGGCGCTTTGGCAAAAGCTTAACGCGCAGTTCTACTCCTCCTCCTCCTCCTCGCCAAAAAGAGGCTCCGATGCAGTGGTGGTTTAAAACTTAAGTGTTTCAAATCGAACCAAAATTACCACAGTTAAATGTAGTTACCAGACTCGCCACCGCAGGCCTATTTCAGTGGAACCCCGCCCCTGGCGAAATAGGCCTGCAGCGAGTCGTGAAACATAAGCGTTCCTGAAGTCCTCTATTTTTCAAATCATTATTAATCCAAACCTAAATCCGAACAACAATCCAAAGTCGCCAGAGCCCGAACCTAAACCGGACCATCCCCAAATCCTCACCAACTATGTGCCCCGATGGATTCTTCACAAGATTTCATCCGCCAGATTCGCATTTTCCAAAAAATGGCATGCACCCAGCTCCTGCTGGGCGTGCTAAAAATAGAACAATGGTACTGCTGAAGGGAAAGGATCGGAATAATAAACTACTTCAGAGTCTTTCAGACATCTTCAAGCACCAGTACGGTGGACCCTAAGTTGCCAAACCGAGTTCTTTTATGCCCAAACGAATCGAGCCCGTCCCTACAAGGCCGGGTACATCAGCGTGCGCCGTGCGCCCTCCCTGCTATGTAGTGGCGGAAGTTCGGTCCAGGGGACACTTGCTGGTGGTTTAAAGACGATTGAATACCGCAATCAAGTAGCAATCCTTTACCCTTTACGTCGTTTACGGTCAGCGCTGTCACCCTGACCGTCGGCGACCCCCGACCTGTTGGCGGCCAACCAGCCGACCGCAAATGAAAAATGCGGCGGTCCGACGACAGCTGACGGGTCCACCGGTTGGCGAGTCGTCGGGCCGCCGCATTTTTCATTTGCTGCGGCCAAACGACACAGGGCCTGGGCAGTCGGTTTGGTAACGGCAGCCCTTTTTCAAGTGCTGGACATGCTCAAATGCGCTGGCTGCCAACATTTCATCTCTTTGCAGACTGGAGCAGCTGGCTTGTTGCAGAGAGCAGTGCACCCAGCCCCTACCCCCGGAGGTCGCCCTCATTGCCACCACCCTCCAACGCCTCCTCCAAAGCCTTCCTGGGCCCTCATCAGCACCGCCCTTGGTGATATTGGACACACCGAGGGTGGTGCTGATGAAGGCGCCAAGAAGACCTTGGAGGAGGAGGCTGCTCACATGGGACATAGCGAGGGTGTGGACCACCTTCTTGTTGATGGGTCCATTCTATTGGTGTGGACCACCACCTGCTGGGAAACAGGCCCAGCTTCCCTTTTGAAATCAGGCCATGCATCCAAACCCGGGACAAGTTCCGACAAACGAGATAAAATTTTTTACAGCAGACACTCAAAAAAAAGAAAAAAAAGTGTGGAATCTGTGGATAGGATTTTGAATTTTCATTTTTTTTTTTTTTTTCATAGAGTATTTTACCAGGTCTGCTGTGGCTTCTCGAATGGCGTCAAGCTTCGGATGACAACGTCTTACGCTCTGCAAAGAATAGAAAATTAGAAATACAAAAGAAACAAATTCAAAAGTCAAAAGTCAAATTTCGGTACTTTAAAGATCGCTGTAGTTCTCCAGAGGGCCTTTTTAATTATGTAAATAGTAAATACACTGTGGCCCCATTTCTATTCCATTTCAATTAACTCACACCATAGTACCATACATAATAAGAAAGATGGTGTGCGCTAGCAGGTAAGCACGTAGATGCCGAGCCTAGGCCGAACAGAGATGGGCTGCACAGAGGTCGCTTTCTTTATCAGGTCAACGAGCGTCCAAGCATATATACCGCTACCGATAGATAAGGAGGCCTGTCGTGAAGAAATTCGAAATCAAGTATTGTTCTTGTTTTATTTCTTCTTTATTGTCATAGAACTTGATAGAAGAAAATCAAAATACAATCAATATGATGAATATATAAAGTTATAAACTAATAAATTACTAAAATTAGTAATAATCTAAATAAATTTAATAAAATATAAATAAATTATAATAGGAGAAGAATATTATATTCTTCTTCTTAATATTTGCTCTCTATATATAAAGAGAAATGAAGTAAAATGTAGATAACATGATTTTTATTCATTATCAATACTCACTTAGGATTTCAGAACGCTCCGCACGGAATGGAAATACAAAAGAAACAAATTCAAAATTCAAAATTCAAATTTCAGTACTTTAAAGTTTAAAGTTTAAAGTTTTAAACAACTGAATAATTTAAATTTTAAATTAGGATTTCAGACGACGACATGGGAGGGAAAAAAAAAAAAAAAGAGAAGACTGGAGTGCAAAAACAAAAAAAAGGGGAAAACGAACGGAAAAGAGTAAAAAGGGACGGGGAAGCATCACTGACTGGCGGCAGCTAGGGCCACAAGATTACAACACCCGTCATTTGCACAATTTTGCAGCTATCCATGTGGGCAGCATTCGCCCCACCACCTTCTTACGCCGCAGAAAATTTCACACTTTTCTTTTGTGGTTTTCCGTTTTCTTAAACCACCAGTGCTTGGCCCAGCTATCGTTGCCGAGCCTGGAATGCCCCTGCGCGCCAATTTTTGCCGAAGCGCCAGGGTACCGTTTCAATTTTTCTTTGGCTGGCGCTTCCAGCCACTGTGGTCCGGTACCCCGAAGCCTTAAAGGCGCGGCACATTAACGGGGAAGCGCCGCGGCCGATAGCTGGGCCAAGTAATGGTGGTTTAAGAGAATTTCGCACATTAATCAAGGTTTTCATAAAGGGAAAAAAAAAAAAAAAAAAAAAAAAAAAATCGCACATTCATTGCACTCGAAGACAGTGATAGTTGAAACTCGAAAAAGGATTTTCAATTTTCAAACCAAACACAAAGAATAACAAAAAGGGAGAAAGGGAGAGGGAGGGGACGGAGAGGATGGGAAGGAGCGGAATGGTTGGTCGCTACTATTTTGCGAATGTGGGAGGGGAGGAACATGGATGCATGGTGTTCATAGCATCGGGCAACTGAAGAGTGCACGGAGCTGACCCGTGACATAGGACACGTGGCACTGGGAGTTGGGATTGCGTTTGTGAAAGGCGGAGTGGGCTACCGTCTTCACCTGAATAAAACGCCCGGTCATTATCGCCGCATCCGGTCCGAAAGTTACCCCCAATACAGCTATAATGACCGGGGGCGTTCTTTTCGGGTATAGATGGTAGGAGTTGAGATCGAAGGACAAACAGGGAGGGGCTGCGGTTAATTATCTGAAGCAGCATGGGACATTCAATAGGAGGCAGGGGTTGTTGCACGGGGTGGTCTTGCCTTACCTGGAGAACAGTATTAGCACCCTCCAACGTGAACCCGAGCACCCAATGCATGTATGCAAGCTGATGACAGCAATTTGCCAAAAGAGAGAAACACACAAACACACGGTGAAAGTCTGATGAAACAGTCTGTCAC